GAAAGTCAGTAAGATTTTGTCCAAAGAGGTTCTTGCCTTTAAACGGGGGGGGGGAGGCAAAAAATCTACTGTAAGTGGAATGGTAATTTGTAAGCGTAAATACATGTAAGAGAATTGTTGTTTCAATTTTCGTCCTCTTGGTATTCTTGTTGTTGTTGTTGTTGTCATTTGTTATATCAAGTGTGTGTAACAGTAAATGCTGTAAAGCTTATAATAAAATATTTCATAGTATTTTTAAATTTGTTACTTAATGAATTCAAGTATACTTAAAAGCGACAACTACCCCTCTTCCATTACTAAGAATTAAGTTGCAGAGGTCAAATTTGGCCTCAGTACCATGCCAGATCGGCCAGAAAATAATGGTGGAGGTCCGGGAGGGAAGAATTAGTGTTCCGCCGTTAGTTTATTCCGCTCGCACCAACTTTTTTGATCGTTTCAACTTACTGGAAGCCTGGAACGAGCCACAGTTTTGGAAGGTAACGGTGGTGTTGCTGTGCTAATTAGTAGCAATTCTGCGATAGCATAGGACAAGAGAAAATAATGGGATCCCTTATTTCCTCTTGGTTTGGCTGACCTTTAAATCACAAACAAGGTCGTAAAATATTTCGTTTCAGTTTACTTTCCCCTGCCTTTTCTCTTTATGGCTGGACTTGTTGATCATAATGTTTCTTTCGCTATCTAATCAACGGAATGACGTAAATCAGGCCGTTTCAAAAATTGCTAAGGAAAACATAGTCTTAACACAAAATTTCAGTGATCCTATTCTTGTTTTGATTTTGAGTGATTGCTACGCGCTAGGTTGTTAAATTTCATTGGCTAATAACATTTCCCCTATTTCAATGGCTGCTGAACTTTGCGATTTAAAGCTGCTTTCGGGCATGTCACGCCATACAGGTCAAATCAGGCAGATTCATTTCGGCATCAACCAAATTAAGCAATAAATCAGGGCACATCGATAACATCTGAGTAGTTTGGTCCTGTAAAAGTTAATTAATAAGAACGGTATGAAACAGCTTCATAAAGACTGTCTGTTGAAGGTCAAAAATAGAGGACCACCTACTCTTTTAGAATGTCAGGAAATCGACAGATGAACAAAAGCTATTTAAACATCATTAGCGCACAAGATTTAAGAGATAATTCACACCCACACATTTTTTTTTTTGGATTGAATTTTTACGGAACACCGGTTGAAAGCACCGGCCCTACATATCTGAAGTACAGTGTGTTTATCTCATCGATGAAAAAATGATAGCGAGTTAATGTCATGGCAAGCAACACGACCATTGTTTTTTTTAAGTTCCTTATCTATTTAGTTACGTGTCCCATATTTGTCGGTTGCAAGATCTTCAAGACTCATACATATCGATTTTTACATTATTTTTGGGGGGTTTCAGATGTTGTTCTCATTCTGTAAACAGCTTCTAACGATGTAAAAAGGGAGAATGAGAGTTTTCACCGCCCCTAATTCCCACGACCCGGGTGAGAGCGTGTTTTGTTAACCTATCTTCAAATTTTACGTTCTCACGGCGATATAATACCATTATTTTTTCTAGCTGTCCGATTATCTAATCAGTTCAGTTTAGCGCTATCATACACTTATCTGAAATTAAAATAATAATTTAAAAATGGTATTACTTCTAACAGTTCTTGCCAAGGAGTCAGAAATGTTTTGTCTCAGTAAGACTTGTCTTGTGATATCTCTGTAAAGTTGCCGTAGAAGCACGGGCGGGGGGAAGGGAGGGAGAAGAAAGGAAGGGGAAGGGTAGGGGTGCTAAAAGGATGATTTGAGCTCTCCAAGAGTAAAGCAAGGGGGAAAAAATCGAAAACCAAGAGTTTTGGGGTTTAAGCCAGACCAAAAGATGCCTCGATAAAAATCAAATTCAGAGGTGCTATTTTATATTTCCAAATTTAAAACTAACCAAAATGTCTTATATAACAATAAAGACAACATGAACGCAGAAAATCTTATTTAAAGTTCCTTACATTTGGTTAAGAGAACTGCAAGAACTTGAGTTCAAGCAAGAACATTACTAAAACATTGTAAAAGCTTATGTACCGATTTCCTTCAATGAGCGAACATTGAACAATATTCCTTACATAAAAAGCGCGTGCATTCCACGTGTTACTTCCCAAAAACATTCTAACGTAAAATATACGGGCTCAAATCTCTGAAAAAACAACCTTTGTAAATTTTGAGTCTCCCAAGGTCATTATTATCCTCTTGGCATTACGAGCAACCATTGCCTTCCTCTCAACCCCCCGGATGATTCAATACCAATGTCCTCGAAGATACCATTTCAAGGCGTTTTCTTTTAACCTTTGTTTGCTTTTGGCCGATTCATTTCACTAAGTTGCAGCCCTTTCTCGGTGTAAGACATAATTTGTGTTTTCATTGGAATTATCTTCCATTATCTAGAGGACTTAAACCGACATTTTGGTGCTAATCACGTTTGAACATCAAACTTGACCTCTAATATTTCAATTGTTTTGATCACTTCTTTTGTAAACAAGTATCCCCTTGACCAATCACATTAGAGAACCCAACAGAAAGTTTGGTAAACAAGATGAGGCGATTAAGGTCAATAATACCGTATTTAGGTAAACATGACACCAATTTGGACCTCCTTGCTTGAGGGAACTGCTTGGAAAGGGTTGAAGAACGTGGGAACAAAATAGGAAGTTATCTTCTCTGTGCATTGGCCTCGTGCGGGAAATGTTTCTTTCGAGTAACCTCCACTCGAACGCCTTGAGACAAAGTTTATCTTCCTGGCCACGATTTTCAGCCTTTAGGAGACCGCGTGGAAGTTTTGAAAGACGCCCATGTCCCAAAAGCTTCATGATTGAAGACATTTTAAGGAAGGAAGAGCCAGTGAAAGGAGGATACCCACGGCAAATGCGTGAGTCAACGAATGAAGTAATTTAGTAAACAACACAGCGAATGTTCTTGGAAACTAACAAGTTCGTTAATGCTCAGCTTGTCTTTGCGCAAACATTCTACGTGACCAAATATTCAGTTAACTAAGAAATTATTTTTATAAAAAACCCTGTTTTATAAAGGAAAGACCAGAGGGCAATGCATTAGAATCATTTGGTATGAACTTTTAGACTGGCCCTCAGTCAAAGAAACAGTTAAAATTCTAGTATTGCGCATTAAATATTAATTTTCCCCTCCATGTACGTAAACACACAAATATTGTTGAAGAGTAAAATGTCATTGCTCTTTGTCGAAAAGTATTAAATGACACTTGCTTCGAAATTAGTGGTCAAATTAGTGTAATATCCTGTTAGGTTAAGATGAAGGGATTGTTCCTTCCAAAGAAACGAAACTATTTTCCCCTCATGACTTAGAAGTGATAAGTGTATTTCTAAAGCCATATTATTTCTGACAGCTTGTCTATTTAACTTGACAATCGATTGTTTTTCCTTCTCAAACGTTGCCTTGTTCCGATTCAAACCCAGTAAAGATCTCCGTATTCACGACGAAAAAATCAGTTTAATTTTTGTCCACCCGTTGAATGGTTACCTTGTTTTTTTTTAGAACTAAATACATTGACATCATGTAAATTTTCTTAGATCTCTAATTAAGCCAGTGTCATTGCCTTGTTTTAAAAGATCGCCTTAAAATTGAGGGATTGTAAATAAATTTTATCGGCGGGAAAATTTTAGAGAATGATGGATGAGGAAAGTGGAACACGGTTGAAACAGAAGCTGTTTTACGATTGAATCAGTCCTTCATTGTTGAATGATTTTGAGACCTTGACTTCTCCAAATTCTTTCTGCAGCTCACTGGTTTGGCGGTCCTGTTGGGAGTGGATTCGTAGAGCCAGCCTGCTTCCGTGAAGAAGTCGACCTCTGTGAGTAAATGAAATCTTATTTTGTTTCCTTTAGCTTCAGTTTTGTCCTTGTTTTAAGCGCTACAGGATGTCTCTTTCAACGAGGTCAAGAAGCTTCTCCAACTGTCGCCGTTTTTCTTTGTTTTCTGTTGTCCGGTTTACACGATGGACTTATAATTTTTCTTTCGGATGATTGTCTACACGGGCTAAATGACAGGAATTCAACAGGAACGCAAACGAAATTGATGACATAAACGCTAGAAACAGTATCAACGCGATGGAAAACCCCGCCTCACTTGCTTGAAGTTTCTTGGCAAAAATTTCAACCTTTGCAAGCTTACGCGGGGAAATAAAAACCTGGCGACATTTCGTTGCCACACTTGCGATTTAGTGCTCTTTTTTTTTTCATTGTTTTCATCTCGTTTAAAGGAAAACTGACCTGTAAAGCCCGTAACCTAGAGAGAAATAGCATAAACAAGAAAATAAATAGTCAGACTGAGGGCTGTGCACTGGCATAGCAAAAATTGCTCTAAATTTTCATTTAGTTCATTTTAGTAATCACTGCAGTTTCGATTAAGTATAAAAACGTAACCGCATTGTTGTCATGTTTTTAATGAAGGGCGAGTGCTGCTGGACGATATCCAGACGAATAGAGTTCTGGAGCGATTAGACAAACTGCATGCATTCATAATGTCGCAAGTTTCAGCTGTGAAAGGGTTACAAAGTTATTTTTAGTTATTTTTTTTATAGTCAATGAAAGGGACTTCGAGCAGCAACTGCGTAGCAACGACAACGTGTTGGAACAAAAGGCCTAATAAGCAGAACAAAAGCTCCGCTCGTGCGTTTTCAAATTTTGTCAATTTCCTAAACGTCCTCTGAAAAACAACAACGTGAAATTAATAAATTTTTTCTTCGTTTGGGAACTGAAATACAGAAGTAATTATTTCCATTTGTATTTGGGTTTAATCGCTGCCTTAACATAAGATCGGTTGCTTCAAGAGTTAGTGAACACATCGATCCCTTGGTGAAATTTACGGAAAAATTTAAATCAATTTTTTTAATCAACATTTTCCTTGACTGCTAAAAATTCCAAATATTATTCAAAATTTCTTTGGTAAGAGGAAGAGTGATAGGCGGGCACCAGAAATATTAGAACGACGTTTATCTTATGTTTACTCAGGATCATATCTATAGAGTGCTTGATCTGTCTTGTTAACGACAGGCGCGTTACATTCGAGACTTGATGATAGACCGATATCAGGCGGCGCTATCTTGGATTGTGTTGTACACCAAATCGAGGCGTGCCCGTCCAGTCTCAATATGGCACGTGACACGATTTAGTGGCGAAGCGTGAGATCGATGTATTGCTTGGTTTTTACAGTATATTTTTAAAAATTCTTGATTACTGTAACTTATTAGACTATGAGCGCGCTGATTGCTGTAACAAATTAGACTATGAGAGCGAGATTTCTCTAACGCGTATCAGTCGACTAACTAATTAGCAGTCGAAGCTGACTAACTAACAAGCGTAGAAATCGAGAGCGAATAGTGTAATTGTCTAATCTAATCGTTCAAAACTTAATAAGACAGGCTCATGTTTTTATGGAATACTGATAAAAATAGGTAACACTAAATGCTATTGACTATTCGTCACGAAATAGAGAGGCTGTACCATAGTTCATCAGATTGCGCCTCTGAAATTAGTATGGTTCCGATTGCTGTTACAATCAGTAGCTTAGAGGAGGCCGTGACTTTAAGGTTAAACGCACACTCCTCAAAGATCGGTAAGAGTTTGGATTCATAAAGGAATACTAGGGATCTTCAGACTATGATCAGCTCTCGAACTTCTGCAACGTTCATTCCCCTTACATTTGTCCGTGTCGCAGCAAACGCACATCGCAGCTGTCCTTATAAACCAAAAAGAGCCAGGAGAGTCTTTGGATTCATGAAGGAAAAATCCAGATTCTTAAAAATGCGTGCATGCAGCATTTGGACCTCGAAGATTTATTAATACGTTAAGTTACTCTAAGCAAGCTTAATGAAGAGTTCACCTCGTGGACAACAAATCTTTATTCTGTATTTTATTTTATTTAATTCAGCGTCATCTGAACCATGCCAAAGCAAGACCGCTGTCATTTGTCAAGCACCAAAATATTTCCGCGCCATTTTAGACGAGAGCCGTCGTTTCCGAAGGACACGCACTGTGTTCACACGCGAACAGCTCAAGGCCATGGAGGATAAGTTTGATCAGGAAAAATATCTCTCCACTCACGGCAGAAACGAATTTGCACGTCAGCTGAAACTGACGCCTCTGCAAGTCAAAACCTGGTTCCAAAATCGTCGAATGAAATGGAAGAAAGAAATGCTGAAGAAAGATCCAAAGGCAGTCACTACGCGATCAAAAGGCCGCCCGAAAAAGGACGAGTTTTGATTCAGTGGTACAAACGGGAACACAAGGATTGTCAGAAAGGAGAACTATTAAAGTTGTCGTTCATAAAATTTTGTTTTTAAGAGTCCGTAGTCGTATTCTATCTGTCCCTTGACGCATGTGCTGACAGCGACATTATGCTTTTGCTTTCCATAGACAGTGATGACGTATTCAGCAACGTTCCCTACAACTGGCACACGAATCTGACGACGCGCCTTCTCGAACGTCGACAGTCCTGAGAAAAATTCTAATTTCTAACAAAACATTCGCGTTGGGTACTGCGGTGTGTTGCATTTTTGGTCGATAAGTGTTGATTTTTGTAAGTTTAACAAAAAATGTCCTTATTTGAAGTAAACCGTCGGCAATATTAGCAAAATGAGTGTATAGTAGTATTTCAATCACAAAACAGTTTTTAAATAATCTCAATTATTTATTACAATATGAAACAAATATCTCCTCCAAAAATTAAAACTATACATTTTCCAGGTAGATAACAGAAGCACTACAGATTCATATGGATCTCTACGATCCTCACTGAAGTTGTGCCATCACCGCAAATGCTCTTAGAGGTGGTTCACTTTCTGAGTAACTTTGTTTAAATTTGTGATACGATAGAGTTCATTGTGTGAAAATTAAAGAGTCATCCGAAATTATGAAGCTTGAATTACCAAAGAAAAGAACGTATTTAATGGATGTTTCAGCACAAAGAGCAAATTCCTCTTCATTACTTGATATTGAAAGCTCGAAGAGTGTGTTAGAAATGTGAAGATGGCAATATTTCCCTCAGTTATGGATCTTCCTCGGCAGATTCTTGAATCTCTGCGAGCTTCGTTTCTTCTTTTAATTTCACTGCAAGTAAAGAACCAAATTTTAAATTTCCATCCCGTGAATGTCTACCGGCTTCCAACACTACGTCACGTACTAAAACCAATCAGAGCACGTCAAAACGTGACACGTAAATAGGGATTCTACCAGTTGGGGTGGGGAAGGTGAGGGACATTTAGCTGTCTTGTCAAGCTAGGAACCTTGTTATGGGAATAAAGAATCCTGTTCGACTTTCACCATAGGGTGTTTTGACAAGAATTATTTTTGTTTCGTTTTTCACTTTCCTTAAAGATATTTCTTGAGAAACCACTTCTCTAAATAGATATCGTTTCCTAATCTGATTCTACCCTCACAGGAGAATATTCTCTTGACCCTCATCAACTCAACCAGCACAAGTAGAAATGTTTACTTACGAGTTTATTTAGACTACATCTAGGGAAGAAGTGTATTTGTTGAGTTAGCTGGGACGTGCCAACTGACTATGAAAATTGAGAGTTTTCGGAAACACAGCGGTTAAACGTCGGGCATGCGGTAGTGGATCAATTTTCGCAGGGCGCGCGCCAATTTCCCTCGTAAAATTTTAAAGGAAAAGATAACGAGCATAGAAATGTGTAAATGGAAAAAAACTGGGAAAAAGAAATTTACAGTTTACTTACATTTGCCATATTTTTTGTGTTTGTTCCTGAAACGTATACATTTTTTCAGGACTCCCTTGTTTTTCGTCACGAGACATATGACGTCAGCAATAAGCAGAAACAATGCAACGGCTATGGACAGGATTATTACTGATAAGACCAGTTTGTCTGTGAATTAAACGGGGAATAATAAAGAAAATTAGCACGTCTGAGGATGGAAAAAAAAATGAAGATGGTGTTTAGTATGCAGGAAACACGCTGATCTAATAGCTAACGCGCCGGACCGAAGCCGAGTAATTACGTTTTGTTCTAGGTAAGACACCTTACTATCACCATTCCCTCTCCAATGTGGAGTATATCACGGGTAGGGGTAACCAGCCGCGGAAGCCCAACCAAATGAAGAGACTGGTTTCTTATTTAGGAGACGTGAAAATATTTCTCAACTCTGGTTGTCTCCATTGAAAACGCTCTACGTTGCGGGACGCTATTTAGTAAAATAAAAATAATGAACTTTCGAGAAATAAAAAAATTTCACATGATAAATATTGATATTCATAAGGGGATAACTTGTGTCACTAAAAGTCAGGTATACTCTTGGAGACTGTAGACAGAGGGACGAGTAACGAGACCCCTGAATGTGGCAACGTAACAGTTACTCGAAAAAGAAGTAAAAAGACTCAAGGAAAGTGGAGAAGAGAGGATCGAAGGATGAGACGAGACAGAAGAGTTTACCTTTTGGTTCCTTACAGTGCTTTCCATCGTGATTGTTAAAAGCGTCTGCGATCTTGTGTCCTGATTGGTCGACACACCAACATTTTTTCAAGTGGACAGAACATTGGATCATGTGATACGATCCATCATCATTGCATTTAGGCAAGAATTCTAGTCTCAGTCGGGGATCACCAGCCAACAGTCGGTCTCTTTGGCACTGGGTGATGTCTAAGAGAAGAGAGTTTGAGTAGTTTTTACGTGAATATCGAAAGTAATTTTGGAAAGCTTTACTTCGCTATGTAATGGCCCCAAAAACTTCTCATATTTTTTGTTGTTCTTGTTAGCCGTACTTGTAACTTTGCTTTCTGGTAAATGCGCTCTAAAGATGGAAACAAGCTCGAGGGTTCCAAACAATTAATTCAGTTGTTGCAAAGTACTCACTTTTTGATTTATGCTCTCTTAGTTTTATTTTGATTTGTTGAAATCCCAGTTTGTTTCTCGCTTTGCATCGGTACTCTCCAAAATCGCTGTCACGAAAGGGTGTCACGCGTAACGTACTCAGCCTGGGTGAGTTCTCCACTTTCTGTACACAAAAAGCGCATTTATCCCCTAGCTTCTTTTTTCCCTTCGTCCAAATCACCTTAGGCGGTGGATGGCCGTCGTAGAAACATTTCAACGTGGCTTCTTGACCCAGTTGAATCGCTTTAATTTTATCTGATCTGCCTTTGTCGATTCGAGCAGCCTTCTCAAACAATAGCGAGACTGAAAGGTAAAAAGAATTATTAAAAATTAGCCACAATTTTTCGTCAACGACAAGCCTATCAGAATGAAGCAAAATTCTCAGGGAACATCCTTACAAAAGGCGTGAAAACGTTGCTAGTGTAACAAGGCACGTATCCTTAGAATAAAATTAAACTGCTGTTAAAAATAGTCAACGGTAAAGGAGAAAAATAATCAGGAAGTTTATCGGTTTCGCACCACACCTTGTGATTTGTTCAAAACTCTTGTGGCATCTCTCTCGAATAATCAGATGAAAAATTGAAACCATCAGCACTTTGCCACTCGTACTATTGGGTTCGCTTGTTTTTATTTTGAGTTCTCATTGGCTCTCTGTAATATTCCCCTATGTTCTGATTGGACCTTGCGATTTTACCTTACTTCGCAGTCTGATTGGTCCAGAAATCTTACGCCACTTTCTCAACAAATCAGATTCAAAACTGTAACCAGCCGCGACTTGGTCAATCGCGTTTTCCCGCGCTTCAGGCAGTTAACCTGTTTTTACTTTACTTATTTCTCGCCAATTTGTTGTAATCTTTTCCTTTGCTCTGATTGGTCGTAGTGTTAACTTTGGTCGTTGTTTTGACACCCAATTGAAAATTGTGCCAATTTGACTTTGGTTTTGCAACACTCAATCGAAAAGCGCACTGTAAACCCGAAAGATGCGAAATTGTCTAATCAAGGTTTTTTTTCTCTCACCTGGAGACAAACCACACAATAGCCATAAAACGAAAAGTACCACTTTCATCATGAAACCACATTAAGAAAGTGAAGCATCGAAGAGCAGAGCCCTATCAGTAGTAGGCCAAATGCATCCTTTATGACGCAACAAACGCAAGTTCACAGTTTGCGTGCCCGCAGAACGAACTTCGCGCGTGTTCTGCGCCTGCGCATCACATAGCACCCCGATCGATCCATTGTATTTTGCAAAGGAAAGTCAAATTATGCCAAATCTCGAGAAACAAATTTATATCACTTGGGAGATCTTCAAAATAATAGATTTGAAAAGCCGAAGAGAATTTAGCACCAGTCTCGGAAACCGTGTCTGACTACGTCAGCTTGGAACCATTCTGCAGTCACGTAATCGAAGCGAAACGAAGAAAACTTCGCTTTAAAAAGTCACTTATATTTTTCTTTAGAATTTCGTAAATGGCTCTAAATGTTTACCTTCTCTATCAGCACCAGACCCCATCTTCTCTATAACCGTTGAAGTTAACGTTTAGTTCCAACAAGAAACTTGACTGAATAATTTGCTCCCGGTGAACTCGATCTCAGACTGCCCACAAGTTGGTAAGATCCGGGGGATGTTTTGCAGAGACCGGCCGAGAAGCGTCCAAAGGTTAAAAACGCACGTGCAAGCTATTGTTCCACTTCATTTCAAATTCTTTTGTTCGACTTGTTGTAGTTATGTCATCACTGTCTTGGTTTGCTGAAAGTTCCTGATAACGTTCTATAAATGATATGCGCATACGAGATTACCAGTCCTTCGCTAGGCCTGGCTAGGAGGGATGAATTTGACGTGCGATAGGAAGTCGTAAAAGGGGACTGAGGAAGACTCAATGGTATGAGGGGCGTATCTCTTCGTTTTCCGCCTTGTCTGCAGTGAGCACTTTAGCAAAAAGGGAACCAAAAAGAAGTATTTCAAGTGTACGATTCATGGCAGTCAACATGCGCGCGCCACGCGCTCAGAAAGATATGTTTCGATCCGTACACGTGTATGAGAACTACAGCTCCACGCTCCACAGGATGTGGTTGAAGTCTATAAATGTTGTATAGTATAGCCCCACTTACCGTAGGCTAGCCCGGGGCTATGGTTTAATTGGTTTCCTGACATTTTCGTTAAATAGGAGATTAAACAGCTGTTAGGGATATGACTAGAAGCGACTGAAACGACTTTTAAAGTGCCATGACCTTCTCATTCGCGAAGGCATTTTTTCGAAACGCCAATTTAAGAAACGGAAGTTCCTCGCAGTTAGAGGCCCTGATCAAAAGAAAAGAGAGAACAACGGAGAACATAAAATCATTTGACGATATTAATTGTGAAGTGCAGTGACAAGGCGATAAGATCTTGACGTTTAAAATGAAATTCGCCTTGAGTATTAGATCAAAAGTCTTTACACCAACAAAACCCTGTTTAATATTGAATCTATTACACTGACTATGGATTGTAATGGTAAGGCGACAAAAGTCCTTCAACAGCAGTACAGCGTCCAGGCAGAAGCTAAATATAACTGCAGCAAGACCTCCGAATCAAGGTCTCCTTTACCATCGCATCTAAACATACAAAAACGCAGATCAACGCGAGATGTAGCTGTCATGGCGTCTAATGCATTGACGGCGCCGATGGTAAGTGATGCATGCGCCGGCTCGTCGCAGATTAAGCACGAAAAAAAAAGATGCTAGCGATACGCCTAAAATATAATTAAAACGCCTACCCACTCTAAGGGAGTATGGTATTAATCTATTCAATCAAAATTCTTTTGATCAAAAGGTGGACAACCCACCTTTATCCAATATCACAAATCAACACATCACATCGCGCTGCAGGCGAAAATAAGATCATGATTCTCATTAAATCTGTAAGTGATGAAACATGATCTGTTTGCAACAGTAGACACTTGTCGACCATTGCAGCGAGTTGCTTTCGAGTTGCTGTGGTCAATCCCGTTACGATCGTTTTGAGTAGCTGTTGAGGCTCTCGTGGCGAGTTACGCGCGTCACGTTCGGGCTGCGTTTGTCATCTATACTAATGCAAGTGCGTGGCAGACGCCTTAGTCACATTGAAACATGGACAAATCGTTTTCCACTCTTATTCCTAGCTTGATGAGCAAAGAAAGGACTGAGGGAAAGTCAGCGGTTTCGCCTCAACGTCCTGTTACCGAGAACTTCCTCGATTCACCTTGAGCCGACACCATCTCCTACAGAGAGCTATCGCGCGTGAGTTGGGGTCCACGTTGAGATGACCTCGTCACAATGTCGCGCATTGCTACATTGGATGCGCAGACTGGATACAATGTAATCTCGATTTCTCCCTTCTATTTTGAGCTAAAAGAAACCAGCTGGGTTACGTGAATCATTCATTTGGTGAAACATGAGATCTACCCAACTTCCAAAATAACTTTCTCACAGAAAACCCATGGCATATGGAGGAAAGCATTTCCAAGTTGGCTCCAGGTGTTCGTGCTCTAACAGGCAGCCTAAACTTGCATCAACGAGGAAAAAGATAACTCTTTACAAGAAAAAACACTTTTCCCCCGCATTTTCCTGTGTAAAAAACTGTGTACCCTGTTTGTTTCTCCTCAACTGATTAAAAGCAAGCCTTTTCAACGGTCTGGCCTGAGACTTGAAAGGTAAACCGATTGTTTCACGCAACGAAAAACAAAGAAAACTTCATTTTGTTTTCCGCACGGGGGACGCGTGTCTCAGCGTGAAACTGAAGTTAATGTTGTGTGCCCTTCTAAGTGGGCACATACGCCAAATTCAAGAATGCCGTCAAATGAAATTAGACACCCTACAGAAACGTGTAGAAAAATCACCATTACTGAAGTCTTTCATTGGAATTAATCATTTCAAAAGGTCTTCTCTGCTTTCAATGATATTTTGAGATTTACTTCAGCTATTCAACTATCTAGTTATAAATATTTATATCTAATAATCTATTGGATATTGTGTCAAAATGCACAGTATCATCAAAACACAAAATCGTTATAATTCATCACTTTACCTTAGCTTTTGACGGTCAATTATCACTGTTGTTTATAATTAAACGGATTTTTCCATTTCCCAGAGAGGTTTGATTGCTGGTTCGATAACAGATTGTAATCCTGTTACTATGGCTGTCAATTAATTGTCAAACGTACCCGATCGTTACAAAGAAGAATCGATCGATGACTAGACACAGACGTTAAATCAATTAATAGCCTGTTGAAAAAAAAGAGGTGGGCACAACATCTGTAACATTTTCTTTAGAAATCGAATCGACCATACTTTTAAATTGCTGCTAATAACATGCTGCTGAAATCTTTTCTTTTTTTCACAACAATACCTTACAACATCTGTCATATCTCTGAAATTTTGCCGCGAAAGTGGCCCTAGATCAGCAGATCACTCGCATGACAACAAAAATATCGGCTTTTCTTTTACAACTTAAAAGCTAGACTATCAAAAAGGTACATTGATTAAAGTTTACTGTTATAATCTTAAGTAAACTCTGATTTCAGTTCTGTTATTTACAGAGTAAGCTTTTTAATCGATTATTTGATTTTCCAGTGGTGGATCCGCGTCGTCTTGTACTTTGTGCTCTTTCAACCATGGAAAGCGACGCTAACAAAATATTTTGGCCAAAACTAAACTGAATCGATGACATCCGCTCCGCGAAAGAAGCTGTGCACGAGAGCATTAAAAGAGAAAATAAAACTTGATTTTCTGTAGAATATACAGTACGTCTTGCCGTTACACGTTACTCTCTCACTATAAAAAGCGGGAATTTTTCTTTGTACAAACTCAAACATTGATTTGTCTGAAGGATAATAATCTCACGGAATTCGGTTTGCTGGATGTAAATTTACATCGTATGCAATAACCCACGAGAGAAGATTTTTAATCTCGACGCAGATAACTTGCGACCCAACTTTACGGTTGCAAAATTTCAGACAAACATTTTATTACGGTTCTATCAACGTCGAGCTCTCTTGGCCTCGTAAGGTCGCTTTATTACCGAAGTTTTGGCTCTTCTTTCTCTAGAATTTCTCTGTTTCACGCAATTACCTAGAAGGAGAGAAAAAATAATCTCTTAACAACTTCGCTTGAAATCTGATTGACCGTCTGTGTAACTTTAAGTAGTAATTATGACACACACAACAATTTAAAATTCACCTGCGACTTTTTTGTTTCTATTTCCAGCCGGCGCATCGCCAAACTCTCGTAAACGTTTCCGCGAAGGGTCGATCGGTACGAAACCACTCCTTGGAATGCTTTCCCCTTCTCTGCCTCTAGTTCTTAGATTATACCTTGCGGCAGAGTGGGTAGGATCGACAATGTTTTGGCGACAGAAATTTTCGGAAGATTCCGTGTCACACGTAGAAATCCCTTCGGTTGGCGATTTACGGGTTTGTAGTCTCTTTCCAACTCGCTGCCACTTGAATCTACCTGAAAGCGGTTGACAATTCTCAAAATCAAAATTCCACTGGCATTTCTTTTCTTCTGACATGTACTTTAACTCTCTGGCTAAATCGTCTCGAATTTGCTTATGATCAACTGTTCCAAAGAGGTTTCTCTTGACGTCTTTGACGCGTCCTCTACCCGCGTCACGACTGACGCTAGTCATAGTAGAGGATTAGTATTCCAAAATCGGGTGCAATACAAGTTGGCTTGTAGCAATTCTCTTTGAGCACAAACAGTAATTCTACGCTTTGCTCGACTTGACAGGTAGATAAACCTTCGTAAGATGTGATTCCATTCACCAAACTTCCTTAACTTGCAATCCAAACGAGAAAATAAGCGTAGTAGATGTTGCGTAGCGATGGCGTCGCTCTGTCAAAATCTTGCTCAACGGTAGTATTTTCTATCTTCCCTCGAGCATCAATACTTTTCCACCAGAGGTACAATTTCTATTGCGATTACAACCAAATCAAGAATGCTGGATTTTTCCAAATTCCACAAACACGAAGTATTAAATAATTCTGTAGCACAGACTGTTTATATTAATTGCAGGGACGAAAAAATATAAAATTTGTAAGCGTCCCTTTACTAGAATCCCGCCACGCCGTAAGAGGCCACGCGAACAGATTAGCCCGAGATTTACTCCCAGCCAATTAAAACTTGTAACGTCACAGTTCTATCTATTTAAAGTGACAGATATGACAGCTTCTGTACAAAGCAGTCTTTGTTCTAAGGTTTTGTTTACAGTTGACGCCGTCAAAAAAGCAACTAGGAAATTGACTTTTCGAAGCTATAATCGAAAAACACGGATGTTTTTGATGGGGTTGAAGAGAATGGTAACACTTTAGGGTAATTACTAGTGAGATTGCTGTTTGAAGACAATAAAAGCTCGTCCGTTTAAGATGGGCGCCAATGGAAAATAAAGCGTCGTTTGCAATATGATATCTGCTTTCAAGCAACACATCTGGTCTAATTCGAAGTAGCGCGAGTTAAAAAATCTTTGTCTTTATTATTGATTTGTAATTCCGAAAATTGGTTAAGATTGAGCATCTGTTTGCATAAGCAATTCCGTGAGATTTCAGAAGATGTTGCTGAGAAAAATACTCGATGAAAAGTGGACGGTTGACACGATTTGACATGATGCAAGCTAGCACGGGTTTTTGTCAGGCAGAAATTGGGTGTGAACGACATCAATTCACACAATTTGTGGAGTCAATATTATTTGATTGCCTTTACACCGTATTTAAAGTTATCGATTGCGTAACGCAACCACAGAGAACTAGATTGTCTAACTAGTCATGCGCTAAGTTCAGAATTTTGTCTTAAAATGATAAAAATTGGTAGTTATGAGACATAATTTGAAGCTCAAAACCCTTGAACAACTTGTACAAAATGACAAATAGCAGTAAGTGTCTGTATTCTCTTATCAATTGTTCTAAAAATGATTGATATCAAAAGGAAAACAACGTCACTGGACAGTGGCGAAATGTAAGTTGTTTATCAAAAACAAACACTTCAACGTAAAAGTATTTTGTTGGACTGACGGTTTCCAAAGACACAGCAATTGCTAGATCTATCCAGAAGATTACACCGAAAATTTCATTTTAATGCTATCAAACTAATGTTTAGGCTGGCTCTGAACGCAACGCAAGTTACTCGCAAAGAAATTTCCGAGGCGCGAGAATTTTTACCTCTCTGAAAGCGTCAAAGCGAACCGGAAACAGTGCCACGCGAACGACAGAGACTTTCGCAAGTATGAAGTTTGGTATGCCAGCTGAAAATGACTAATATTGAACAAATCTTTTACACACCACGAAAAAATATTACTTTGAAAATTATCAAAGCTTCGCTGTTTGGTTACTTTCTACCGCAGTTACTAAGTTAAGTAAAACAGAGAAGGAATGAAATTTTCTAAATGGAAAAATCAGTTTCGTCCACATTCAAAGTTTTATTCAAAACTAAAAGGAAAACGATTCTTTTATTTTGATATGCTAGCCTACTGTTCTTAAAAATTAGGAAAAAAATGAAGAAATATTGAAGAAGTCTGAAGGTTTTCGAAAATCTATTGTACTGAGTCACCTTGTTTAGAAAAAACTCATGATCGGAAGCGTGCCCGCGGGAGAGCGTGACAGTGATGAAGCGTGACAATATTCCGACCAGTCAAGAGGAAAATCGAAATGGTTAATTATATAACATTCACTAAGCAATTGCCTAATATCTACATCTAAAGTTCATTTACGAACCAATTGCATAGTACAGTTGAACAAGTATTTTTGGGGCGGTAAAATTCCGTTTAGGGGTTTACGAATAAATTATGTTTCAAAACATTTTTACAGGCATTTCCGCTGGTAACATTTCTGATAAACAATCACGAAAATCGAACATCAAGCCATAAAAGGAAAAGAAAATGAAACGTTATGCAGTGAAAGATGAACAAAGACGCTTACCTCTTTCGGAGGCGCTCGCTTGATCAGCTATGATTCAGTTTTACGTTCAAATATTTAACTCATATAAATTAATTAAATACAAAACTGAGCCCTCGTAGATTAAAATTACAACAATATACGCGTAAAGATGTACGACTTATCTCTTTTTATCCGAATTCATTGGATTATTTAAGCCATCAAATGACTACCTGCTTCTATGTCTCTGAACGATATGCAAATCCAACTCTCCTCGACCGCACCTGCTTAAGAGTTTAAAGCTTAAGAGGGAAAGTGAAACGTGTTAATGACATTAGTGATTGTTTTACTCAAGACCTCGAATGGCGAGCGATCGGTAACTCTTTCTGCAATTCAAAACGCAGGAAGAAGAAAATTACGCTAAAAATAAAATAAAATTCATCGGAGACACCTGATAGACACTCACAAGTACTCTGCAGCGTTATTCTTTGAGGAAAAGACAAAAATTGGTTGTGTTTTTCCGCTTATTTCCGGTCGAATCAATCCTTGGACTCACAAGGTCACGTTGTACCAACTCTGACAAAGTTGCTTCCTGTTAACAAAGCACAGGCTCCGTACAATCCCGTTTGATATCCGCGTCGTCCACAAGCAGAAACATAAACAACGAAGTATCATCTGCCATTTTTCGGCGGAGTTTGAGGAAGCTGTGAGTATTTATCGGCTGAATTCTTCGCAACTTCCTTAACTTCCTCTTTTTCCGCAGCGCTGCTCTCTCCAACTTTAGAATCGTCTCTCTCGGTTTCAACCGACCCAACTTTTTCCCATTGAAATGTTCCTCCCTCCTTCGGTACCCCTTTCTCGAAATCGAAATTCCATTTTTCGTTCTTCTCTTGTACATCTTTCTTTAATTCCTTCTTCAAATATTCATCCAGTTCTTTGTGATCTGGTCGCCCAAAGAGGCACTTCTTTGCTTTGCTCTCTTCGGGATTCATCGAAGAAAACGACGCATGCGGTGAAAGTGAACACAGTACTGAACTTTAGAATTTTCCTTCTGTCATGCCTAGTTAAGTTCTTTCTGGGGTTCAAAGATTTTTCATGTCGCAAGAATTTATGCAAACGCGCGAAAAAGGTTACTACGTCATCAGCTGGTATTTACGACTAGTTATTATAAATACTGTTCGGGCAAGTTCAGACACGTTTTTTACCCCTCTTCAAACACGCCATAAAAGGCAAAAATATAAACATCACGTGGATTATTTCTGTGTGTATGTGTGTGCCTGTCCGTCTGTCTGTCGAGGTGAAGTAGGAAAGTAAAGAATGCAAAATCTATAACGAAATAGCTACCAGCTGCACATTAAACGTCTAATCAGCAACTTCATCAACTCCCACGCTTTCCCACAGACACCGCACGATATTCGTTGGTTTACTTTCACTCTCACTGTTAAATTTTTACTCCCCTCATCGTGTTGAGAGCTGCTTATCGAAGTAAATTTCATGGAGGGGAAAAAATTTCGATTCGAAACCGAAGATCATGCAGTTCGTGGGAAAAGTCACGAAAATCGACGGCTTCCGCTAATATAGTAGTTACATGAACTCAGAAAAATCAAGAAACATAAGATATAAGAAGGCACAATTAATTCGACTTTCCCGTGAAGTGATTCATAAATCTTTGCTTGAATAGGAAAAAAGTCATTGAAAAAATTTCGATGTTTATGATGACTCTTCAAATGGATTTGAACCGGAAATATATAAACAAAACTGTTTTGCACAAGTGCTTGAAAACTTGACTATGACAGTAATTTAGACGTACGCATTTGCTTTTCTTGGAAAAATAGAAGTTAAGAAGAGTGAAGCGTATTTACGTACAGTACAGTACGTGTGCAAATAATGCATGGAAGTAACGTCTGTTCCGCGGGGTCACGTTAATTTGATCACTGTTTCTCGATCATTGAAATTATTTTTTATCACGGCAATGAACTCCAAGAAGTTAAAAAACAAGATTAAAATTTTACTATGAAATAAAAAATAATTGAGACTTAATAAACGTCAGCAAGGTATATAATCATTATCTTCTCTGGTGGAATATACGGATAATTATATCATACCCAAGCAAGTTTGGACATGTTCCTGACCTTTGCCATAGAGAAAGAATTGTTGCTCTTTAAGAGGATTTAAAAATAACTGTTTCATAAAATAACATTTACTAGGGCGCTTTGGCAAAACTGCTCTAGAAACAAGTCTAGACAATTGGCTTTTAATTTGCGCTATTTTTAGCAATCTGATGGACATGTATGTAAACAAGTCAGAGTTAAAAAAAACCGAGCTGTAGAGACCTGCCAGATTTCTTGTGCGACGGTAAAACAAGGGCGATTTATACATCTCTGAAAAAAAAGGTTAACTCTCTTCTTATGACTTTCCTGTGCTTCACAGACAATGGAAAGTAAAACACAAAATGCTCTGTTCATGAACGCGGTCACGCAATGATTCACACAACGCCACGTGACAACCTTTCCAGTTGTACGCCTCGTTGTTATATATATAGTTAGCGAGGGACTGGAGATTAGACATTCAAAAGATGGCGGCAAAGTATGGGAAAAGTTTTCAGTTGTCCATACAACGTGTTTCCGAGTCGCAAATCTAGTCGTATACGTACATTTTCGGAAAGTTTTACTGTAGAATCAGTTAATGGAAATGGATGTAAGGAAATCGTAAGTATACATTTTTTTCTTCCTTCGATTACTCTAAAAGTAGTTTACAGTTTGTCAACGGAGATTAGTAATCATTGAACGGTACCTCATTTTCAGACGAGGCTCAGTTAGGCTTCTTCAGAGCGTACTATGTGGTTGTGCGTGATCAAGATTTAAAATTAGAAATACAATCGCTGTGCGAGTTCAATGTGCGTGTCTATGAAGAACAATTTCGTTGATCGCGATCTAGTGTGGTCAATCGACTTGAATCTGCCCCAATTATAGAGATAATTGATTTATTTCCTTAAGATTGTGTGGTTTGTAATTCCCGTTCTGTTCAAAACAGAGGAGATCCGTTCCAAGTTGATCCATTACCGAAGACATTTTATCATCCATCAAAACAACGAGAGCTATCCGAGGACGAAAGAAAGGTAAAACGTAGCAAATGCTGGCGATATCTTTTGAAATCCGGAGTATTCGGCTATTCGGTTTGAAAGGCGTTTTTTAAGAGAAATAAATCTACGGTATTCACGACAAAACTGAACAACTTGACTTGAGAAGTTATTGGGTAAAAAAAATTTGATGATCGATAATTAGTCAAATTGATCAAGAGAATTCATGCATAATATAATTACCTTGTTACTGAATATACTGTAATTATATCAGTGCTTGCGTGTATTGCATTCTAAAATGACTTTTTTAATTATTGATCCATTACTCAAATATATTATTACCTGTAAAACACAATCTTGTAAGCTGCCGTTACATGCGACATGAACAGTACTCCCTTCCATATCCTGAAGCTTGCAGACATACAGTTCTGCAAAAAAGATTAAAGAGGAAATTTTGTCTCTATTATTTTTTTTTTTCCACTGCAATGTGATTTTCAAAATTATAATCACTGGAATTATATTAAGGAAAGCAATGGCTATATCTACAATATATATATATATATTTATAAGCAATGGTTATGTATACACAAGCTAGATGAATGTACCCATATCAAGTAGAATGAAATTCATTGAAAAAAATTTGTACATTGCATTAAAATATTTCTTACAACTGACAAAAGGAAATACATTTCCAGCAAATTTCAATTCTGAATGTAGTTGTGGAAACAACATTGTTTGGTAATAGTGCATTGTTTATATATTACTGTCCAACTATTGTTACTGAAATAACTTACGTAAAACTAGCCAATTCAATTACAAGAAACAAGCATTGAATTCCTTTCAATTCTTTATCATCGTTGCTTACTTTGGTATTAAATACTGTTTTACAGAATCATGTTTAGCAGAAATCAGTTCACTTCACACCCTGATTTTCTACTTTTGCTTATGTGACCCATTGGTAACAGTAGTAGTACACAGTATATAGCTGTAGTTTCCCCTCTACATATCTACAATTTTGCATTAGGTAATCTGTTTATATGTTTCATTTGTTTAAGCTTTGTCTTAGCCCAGATAATAAAATGGAACACTTTATCAAAAACCCTGAGGATGAAAAATTCCTTCGTAAGACAAATCAGATAAGGATACACGAAATACCAACAAGAGAAAATGGAACTACAGTGATGGACCATTCATCTTCATCCAAATTTGATGAGTCCTGGCCAAGTACAGAGCGAGCAATGGTATCAACCCCTGAAGTAGATACTGAAACCACAGAAACAAAGACCCCCTCCAGTGAAGGAGGAACAGGCTTTACAAGGCAGCTTCTTCCCAACTCCACTTTAGCCAGGTAACATTTCTTGGTGGGTTACTGACATTTGAAGCTTGAACACTAACAAAGAGGGTTTCGTTTTGGTTTGCAATTATCCTACTAGGATGAATCTATAATTTTAATCAACTGCTAGTCCATCTCATTTTTAACAGGTATATACACCGATTCCGTAATAATCCACCATCAAGCCGTCAGGAGCGAGATAGGATGTATTTGGACAGTGGTGAAGGAGGAGAATTCTGGTGGCTGTCTCCTTCTCCTCCAAGTAGCTCCACACCCAAAGATGGAACTCCAAAGGAGAGAAACCTGCCTTTCCCACCTCAGAGTCTGTCTCCAAAACAGAAAAGAACTACTGCCAGGAGGGCTAGTTCATCTCCAACATCTCCAGTGTCAGTGAGTGAAAATGCTTCCAGCAATTTTAATTCTTTAAATGTGCATTTTTCTATTAAAACTAAGAGCCTATTTCATGTACAGAAAGATCAAGTTACAGTTCTTCATCTCAACATTTTTCAAAGTGGCTGTTTGTCAGACAAAATGCATGAGATGGTTACTCGAACAATATTTTATCTACCAGTGAAAGAAGAAAAAAGTGCACAAAACCAAATCCATAATACCCTTTACCACAAAGAGGAAAGAGCATTTCTTTAATAAAACAAAATGGAAAAGTTCAACTCACTTCAACATAAGACCCTAAACAATAAGTGATGAACATATTACAGTTTGTTAGATGACCACAGAACACAGGTCACCAATCCAACGTCTTTCACTGAAAATTTGGCCTCATACTTTTTTACAACTCACTAAGGCAACAAAATCTGTCACAGCTCCACAAATCAGTAATGTTAAAAGGCAACTTAGGATCAAAACAGAAGATTAAAAACAATTCACATTATTGCTAAGCGCGCTCTCAGGTCTGTTGACCAACTTCTAAGGAATTTCCAAAATTGAGGAATTTTTAATTTTAGACATTGTCTCCACTAGAGGTATTTGTTCTACATTTATTTTTTTTTTTTGGAAATTGTAATGGTTATGATTAATTGGTAACAGGACTGAGTGGAGTCTAATTCTGTTTGGAATCATACTTGTGATAGACAAATCAGGCTCCCGCTTTGCAGTTGTCCAATTTTGCTCATCACTTGTTTGATTACAGACCAAATTGAACTCCACTCAGTCCTATTACCATTATTTGTCATGCTCTGCAGAAAACCAGAAGTACTTTGTCACCTTCAACCAAGTCATCGTTTGATGGACTTGACCTTCAGACAGCAGAACTACAACAGAGAGCCAAAGCACTGCTAGAGAAAAGGTTATTTACCTACTGAATGTGATGTTGATTGATGAAATACATATAGTACATCATGTTGTAGACTTAAGAGATCTTGAACAGATCATGGGAAAACAGAAAAGACCAGTGGAATTTCAAAGTATTATTTCCAAGCCTGGAATGTTGTGGAAAGTGATTGAAAATGACTTAAGTTGATATTTCTTAGAACAAATTTGAACCAGAAATACTATGAAATATAATTCCTTCAAGAGTCTAAATAGTGAAATGTACATGTAGATCCCGTGTAGGACTTAACACACTAAAATATTATATCATGATTACACTGCATTCAAAGGTAATGTTTTTACATTACAGTGAAAGCACACTGGAAACATCTTCAACTGATCTTCCCATTCCATCAAGAAGGGCCCATAGGGAGGCTCCCAAGAAGAAACCCCCTAAAGAAGCACCATTCCAAGCTCCCTCAAAACCAGCCCCTATACAACTCACAGACAACTTGACCCAACGTCAGCCTCATTCTGCTCCTCCTCCAGAGGAAGATATCTTATATCAATGGAGACTGGCAAGAAAAATAGAAAGAGCTCAAGAACATGTGACAAAACGGGGCCCTGCAAGAAGTACTTTTTTGTTAGAACCCTCTCAACCTAGATTTATTGGTGCTAGACCAGAGGAGTCTCTGGGTTTGTTTGGTAAGGCAAGAATACCCAAACCCACTTCAGCTCTGTGTCCATCTGAGAGGGATTTTCTAGATCCACAATCAGGATTAGAAGTATCTGATCTTCCTTCAACCAGGATGCAAACAAGGCTGGAAACACCTTCAACACTTTTGGCTGATCAAGAAGGGAGGTCTGCTAGATTAATACCACCTCATCCCAGCACCATGCTTCTACCTGGAGCACCTGTGGTGAGTGCTGGTGCTGCACAGGGTTCACAGCCTATAACAGAGACTGAAAATGATGCTCATGGGTCTGGACCAAGAACAAGTGTGCCTTCTTCTGAACAAATCACAAGACAAGAAATTTTGGGGCAAGGGCAGTCCAAGCTGGTCCAGGAACAGATGCAATTTGAACAAGCAGATGTACCATCTCATGTGCATCTTTCATGTGATATCTTGCCATGTCCTCATCAAAAGGCTCTAATTGAAAAAGGACGGTCTGATCCAACAGTGAAACTCCCACTGAGTTACCCAGTAGTGGAGTTAATGAAGGAAGAACTTGCCTTACCAGAAAGAGATCTTGACAGAGTTAACAAACCAAGTAGAAAAACAGTAAGAGAATCTCACAAGAAGCGTCAATTAAGGGGAAAAGATACAACTGAGGACAAACAGAAGAGTCAAATTGAGTTACACCATGTTGAACAAGATGGGCAGAAAAGAAGAGCACATCAAAAACAGAAACCAAAAAGGGAAGTCTCAAGGGAGACTACAGCCACTGATGTGTTGACTGGTGTTATTGGAGAGGTGATTAGCAAATACACTACAAGTCTACAAGTTAACTACTTACAATCGCTCTAACAAAGGGCTAATGCTTAAAAGTCTGCTTTAAAACTCTCTACAGTGGCCCATTTACATTAAATTATATTTATAAAATACCCTAAAAGTCATTCAATTCCTTGATACTGAAACCCTGGAGAAGACCATTTGAGGAAAAACAGAAAATGGCAAAGGGGGGTGGGGTTTGAAGGGATGATGGTATAAGCAAGGCTTCTGGTGGATTTTGGGTACAGGGTCATAAACTAACTCAAGGTGTTAGATGATCTTATGAAATCCAACTACCTAGACGTTGGTTCCTCTTAATATTATAAACATAAGGTGAAAAGTGTTTAACAGTGTACAGTGGCCTCTATTTAAATATTATTTAGTCTATTCATTAGCGATCTATCAACATTACCTTGCTCCCACGCAAACAGCTTCCACACTCCCACAACATTCTCTATTACCAAAAAAGTCAACCCTTTTAAGTTGAGGAATGCAACTATGCAACCACTGCACTAGTCTGAAAAAATGAAAAAAAAAAATTTTAACATTTAATCCCTGTTTTTTTTTTTCATTATTTAAGGTTGTCTCACAGAGACTCTTTGCCACTCCACAATCTTCCACAAGCAGTTTGACAATAAGTGATGACAGCTTACAGCAAAGAGAGTACCATGAACAACACCACAAGGATAATGGTGAGGAAAAAACATTTTTCCATATATTAATTCTGCCTTTTTTTGTTACTGCATTGCATTAGCAAGATCTATTTGGGTTTGTTTCATACTTTATCTCCAGAGGAAAACTCCAATCCTGACAGCAACTCAGATGATAATGAATTCCCCGATGATGAAGTGTTGAAGATCTTACGTCAGAGACAGAGAAAGTATAGAGACCAGCTTAGGTAACTGTTCCTAATAGTGACAGTGCCAAATGTATTTGACACTTTACACCCTAATATTAGTAGGTATATTCTCCACACTGTTCTCTATACAATTCTTAAGGTGCTGCCAAGGAGAATTTATCTAACAATCAAGAGCTTCTTTAGTCTGTGATCATTTACTTTATTCTCATGACCTTAATGTGTGATTCTGGGGTGATATTGTAAGGAGAAATTAGAAGCAAGTCACCCTTAGGGGTTAAAGGGTTTATCAGCTTTTTACTGTAATTTGCAGAAAAACAGCTACTCTTAATAGTTTAAAAAGTATATTGAAATTTGAAATGTCTAATATATTGTAATTATCCCTTTCACAGACAAATTGACAACATCTTAAATCAACAATCTACTGATCAACCACCTGCTCGTAAAACAAAGGACAACTGAGATGACAGAGATTCTTTAATAAATGTGTTAAAAGTATTTATGTTGATCAAATAAAATTATTTAATTTATTGACTGTGAATAAATCATCAATTGTATGATGCAGTTTCCTATGGTCATTACTGGTCCTATCTTTGTAGGAACTTATTGAAATGTAATCACTAAAGATCCAAGGACTTGAACAATACATATTGTTACACCTAAATTGGATGAGTTTTCCCATTTGTTACTCTTTGTGTGCTTCACAATTCTACCAATATCAATTTTAAGGTTTTTCAAAATATGGTTTTAGTTTGGTAAGGGAAGGTCCATCAGGGCCTGTGCAAAAAAAAAAAGCTAGTCTAGAAGCAGGACCACATTAATAATGCTTTGGCACAAGTGTTTTTTTTTTTCGTTGCCGGAAAGTGTGAAGCATTGAGCAACGTGAGGTGGCTGCTCGTCTCCCAGGGGTCTGGGACTGATCCCTGGCAAACTGCAACTTGTCTCAAATCTTTCAGGGGGTGGAAAAGTGTGTCTTGAGACTCTTATAATGAGGGCTTGCTCACGGACCAATTAAAAAAACCAACACAAATTTCCATCAACTGAAAAATAATTGAAACTCCAAGAGGACAAACCAATGTGAAATGAAATGGCATTAGAACTAAACAATCAAATAATAAAAACAACAAACCACATTTCCTATTCATAAAACTTGAAGGCTGATTGCCAAAAATGAGCAAAACAAAAAACGGTGAAGAGCAAAAACAAGCATTTTATGTACAAAGGTGAAAAGCCAACTTAAAAGAATTGGAGGAAAAGACAAAAAAAAACAACAAACAATTGCGCCGCTCCCTTTAAATCGTTGTGTTAAGTACTGTAATCCCTTAAAATGTATTTGTTTCCTGCGAGTTATTAAAGCAAATAAGTTTAATTTCCTTTGTCAAACAAGTTTTGTTCTGGACTCGCTGGCCCTATTCCATTTTTGGTTTATAGCACATAATTCCACAAAAAAAATCAGTCTAAGGAAGGTTCTAGGTTTGATGTATAGTTAAAATATGACTGGTAGTTGTTTAGTTGAACAAATTCTCCTCATGCAGTTGGGTTGCAAATCTAGTACTGACTGCACATTAGAGACTGATTCATCTGTACATTTCAAGGTAAAATGCATAGTTATCTATTGCCTTAATAGTCAGTCAATAATTATCCATACCTACCTAACAGAAGTTGTTCAATTGTTCATTTCACTTTGGAAATTCATTGCAAACTTCCTGTTCAACCCCTAAGGTTTCTAGGAGACTGGCACTGACTGCGTTGTCCGTTACAGGTCTGGCACTAGAGCTGAGCGCGCAAGAACTGCTGGTATAGAACAGAGTCCATCATGGCGTCCGGAGCCGGTGGAAAGAAGAAGGGCAAAGGCGCGATCGATCACGAGCAGATTATAATGCAATTCAATCAAATGAGGCAGGAATACAGGGGTATTATGGGGAAAATAGGAGAGCTCGAAATGGAAGTCAATGAGCATGGGTGAGAACCGATTTAAAAATCTCTATTAAGATATGTCAAACTGATAAGCGTTACGGGAATGTCAAACAAAGTTGGACATTAAACCTTAGGTCTGCCTTGTATAAACTCTTTGAAGAAGTTGTAACATTTATGAAAGAAATTTTCGACGGCTTTCATCATTAATATACTTTACTATTGCCATTTTACCCCAAAATCGGTTTCACTGTTATCGACTCCACGTGGTTTTGATAGGCACACACCTAAAAATGTTATTCCCTTCCTTTAGTTCGCTGGGGATTTCTTTGGCAATTATTGAAGTAATTACACTTACGATTTTTAGTCAGTTACTGTGGTATTTGATGTTTTGATCCTTTTTCAAATCAAGTTTTCCCTCTTCGTCTCGTTTCGTTTTCTTTCGTAAGTTTAATTTCTAAGTAGCAAATGGCATCCTCCTTTTTGACAGGTTGACTTGACCCTTTCACTCCCAAGATCTAATTAGTAATTCTTCTTACTATCTGTCATACAATTCTTATGATGGTAGTTCAGAGAATTTGGTATTAGATCAACTAATAATCCCATAATTGATTTTCTTCTCTATTATCATCACCTACCTGCTTGATATTGTTTTGATATTGTAAGGAGAAATTCTGTCTTGGTCACTTGTGGAAGTGAAAGGGTTAAGGCTAAAAATAGAATTGGGGTATTGAAATATAAATATATAAAGCAAAAACATGTAGGCCTTATGCTAGATTACCTCTTGTTAGTAGCCTGCAGATCTGCAAAGTTTCAGTGGAAATTAAGAGCAATTGTGAGTTTATGACTTGAGAATAATTGGCTTTCATGTCCTATTTTAATTCTTTATCATAGTTTCCTTTCCAAATCATGAGTTCTGGTCAAGAGAGAAAAATAAGCAAAGAACAAATTATAACAAGTTTGCAAAAAGATACTCAGGTGAAATATTCCCAAACACTTGGTGAAAGTGGTGATTAATTTATCAAACTCTTTCTATTTGTAGCATTGTGATTGAGGCACTGAAAGGTGTAGAGCCTGATAGGCGCTGCTTCCGAATGATTGGTGGAGTATTGGTGGAGAGGACAGTCAAGGATGTTCTCCCAGCACTGGAAAACAACAAAGAACAGGTCAGAACATTTTCCTGCAGAACTATAAGGGGATATAAAGGTTATCATACAGAATGATGTAGGTGCTGAGATGTTTGGTGACTCTTCCTGAATGCCATGCGGGTTTGTGTTAGAGCATCCCTTACAGTTTCATCAGGTTTTCCCTAAAAGTTTGGTAGCTTCAACATTTTATGCCTGGATGGAGAGGCACTGCAAAAGTTATATCTTATCCCTAAGAACTCAGCTTGGTGCTTACATGCCAATCTTTTGATCCTGATCTGTGTTATTCTCTTGGCCCCAGTTTTTCAAAGGTTGGATAGCACTATCTACTAGATAAAACTCTATCCAATGGATAACGCAATACATTTTGCTATCACTTATCTGTTGGATAGTGTTCTGCACCCTTTATACAACTGGGCCCTGGAGTTTATCAGTCTTGGTACAGTGAAAGTACTACTCAGTGATAGCAGGCATCAAACAAACTTTTTATCCATTTCAACCTTGTATTCCCCATTTATACCTTATAGTAATTGTTTACATGTAAACCATGTAAGTCATATGTTAAAAGGGCAGGTATGGGGATGCGTAACTTCCAGTGAGGACCAAGATGTTTAACAAGATATTTCTTGTCTACTGTGTGTATGAAGAGTTTTAGAATTGATTTCAGGTGACATTTAATGGATTCAAATGGCTTATGCACTTTGAAAGCAAAAGGAATCAATTTCCAATTGGTTGTTACACACCACAGTAGAGAACAACTGTTCACAAATACAGAGAGATTTTTGCAAATAAAGGTTTAAATTTTCGAGGGTGGTAAAGGAGAGTGTGGCCATTTGACCCTTTAACTCCCAGATCAATTTTGTAGTTCTCCTTACTGTCAACCATACAATTCTTATGTTAGTTCAGAGAATTTAGTATTCGATCAAATAATTATCCCCAAATTGATATTTTTCTTTATTCTCATCACTTATCTGGTCGATATTGTATAGGTAGTGTAAGGAGGAATCCTGTCTTGGTCACCCATGGGAGTTTAAGGTTAACTGACCAATCACAGTGCCAGTGAGAAAAAGGGATAAAATAAAAATGATTACCCTCTCACCGTGGCATTCATCTTCAGATTTCAGGCCTCATTAACAAGTTAAAAGACACTCTCACTGCCAAAGAGCAAGAACTTACAGCATTCAAAGATAAACACAACATCCGCGTCAAGGGAGAGAGAGAAAGTCAATCTGAGGATTCTGTACAGACTGCTGATAAGACTTCAGGAGTTCTGGTGGCACAGGACAATTCATAAGATGAAGGGAACAATATTTATTGATGTTCTGATGCATGGAAAGCTTCAGTGGACACAGTAGCCAGTATGGCAAGCATTTAATACACTGACTCAAGTGAAACCATTCCAAAGATTTCCTCCCCAAGTTTAAATGTTAATCATAGTTTTTGCACAGGACACTCCTTTTTGAACAAACAGACAGATTTTTTTCTCACAGTGAGTACAACACAAATTATGTTAGTGAGAAGATTGAAAGACATTGTCACCTAGTGGACATTTTACATATAGTTTTCAAGTCAATAGCTTTGTGATAGATTAGAAATTCTAATATAAGTGTGAGTTATAGAGAGTGGTATATGTACACAACACAAATCAGTGTAAATTATATTCTTTCTAGATCCTTTATTTTAGCTGCAGACTTAAGATACGGTCATTTGTCTTTCAAAGTCAATAATTTAAATGAACCATAATTTTGGACCCTATTAAGTTTAAAGATGTTATATCTTCTTGCTTTTGTTTGTCAGCTTCTTTTTCAATTCATTTTAAAGGAGATACTAAAATGTTTGCACATAGTAAAATTAAGTGTGGCCTAGACTGTATGTAATGATTAAGTGAATCTGTGTTTCTGTAAGGAACACAAGGTTTTACCCTGTGTATATTCAAAGTTATGAATAAATAATTTGAAATACCTTTGGACTCACTAGAATAGAATAAAAATAATTATCTGATCTTTCCATTTGCCATTAATCATAAAATAAACTATTCTAGTAGCCCTTTCAAAGTAGAAGCTAATGGACTCCTCTTCAAAGTGGCACTTTGTAATTAAAATTTTTTTTTTTGAAGAAAAGAAGTTTTGTGGCAAGAATTGAAAGAATTGGTGGAGATTCAGAGGAGAAAACTTGTATTTGCTTATTTGAAATTCTTTACCTGTTGAGGAAATCATTTATATATGAAAACAGTGTGTAACTGTTTAAATAACATTAATTTTTGTTCCTAAAAAACAACAGCAGACCAAATAAGCTTTGTATAATATATGACAAAATATTTTTGTGCACATAAAATATTAATAAGGGCATAGGAAATAAAAAAACTTTGAAAGATTATGAAAGAGAGGATTTGCATAAAAAGGCTGCTGGCATAAATATCCTGCATGTTTTCATTTTTAGATTCAAACTGCCTTGATACTTTGAGAGTTTCAATTTCAACTTAAGATATTGTATAATCAAAAGAAATCTAGGGCCTTGGGTCTTTGCGTAACTTTAGGTTGTTTCTTTCTCTGCTGCAGTTGGCCAGAAGCTGTGGATGCTGCAGCAGTCTTTTTTATAACTAAAGGTGTTCTTTGAGGTTGAGGTGGTGACTTGAGTAACCCTTGAGGAGGTGTCTTCTCTGCATCAAAAGGAATATTTGGGCTTTCCTTCAAACTACGTTTATAATCTGTTAAGAAAAAGTGGCACAAAATGAATGGTTCAAGAGGTGTTGCCTTAACGGGCTTCGATGCTACACCCCTCCCTGGAGGATAGCAAAAGGGGGGGGGTGTCCTAATCCCGTTTCACAAACTAATTTTAGAAAAATTCACATGTAACATATATAAGAGGGAAAATTTCAAATCTCCCTTCTTATGTTCAAGATTTCAGGGAAATCTTGAGGTCTTCACAAAATGAAAGAAAAAATTTATGGATCATATATATTTTGGGAAGCAAATCATGTTTAACGCGGATTCAAAACTTCTCGAGTCACGCTCACCTTTCTGTGAAATTCAGTATTACACATAATTTTTGCCTTATCACACATCGCATTCAAACCCTTTACCACCCTCTCCCAAGCCAGAGAAGGGCAAAGTTGATTTCTAAATTAAATGCCACCCACACTATAACTACCCTGAGCCACATACACCATTTCATTACCAATAATTGAACTGAAAAAGGATGAGTTTGTTCTGACTTGAAAAAGAACCCCAACATTTCAATGGTTATTTGCACTGACCTTGTGTTGTGTGTGAAGTATTTTTGGACACCTCTATCCTGACTCTTTTCCGTGTTCCCTTCGAAGGTTCTGATCCAGGCAGTTGAACCTACACAAATTATCACATATGTATTCACTGATAACAAATACAGAGAAATCATTTCGCATCTTACTCAATAACCGTTAGTCTTGAGATATTAAAAAAACTAACAATTAAATGAAATTGTACAATGTTTAATTCAATCAACAATGATGACCTGCTGATTGTCTAGGAGCTTCTCTAGAGAGAAGACCAAACACTGTAGAATGCTGGTGGCAGATGTGCCTGTACAAGTTGCAGAAAGGCAAATAAAAAATAATTACCTGTGCAAATTGACTATAGTAATTTACATAACACATTTATACATGACAATCTTGCTACTATTTCACGCTAAAGAAAAATATATTGTTCCCAACCTTCAAATTACTGTTCCTTCGTGGCTCTGTTCTGGGTGTTTTAGCACTGCATCTTCGAACGAATGCTGGTGGAGTAGCATTCTTCTGAAACTTTGCAAAGGGCTGCTCACCATGACCATTGGCTCTATTCAAAACCTCATTTTCCACTGTTCTTAACAAGGTTTGATCATCTTTTTCAGTTGAATGTATTGTGTCACCAACAACACCAGAAGCATTATCCTCACTTAGGTCATTAATAGCTTCTTTATTGGAAGATTGATGTCTTCTTTTATTTTTTACAGTAAGTAATTCTCCACCACCATTTTCATTGCTAACCACAGATCCTTCCTCATTCTCAATAGGAGATTTCTTCTTCTTCTTCTTCTTTTTATCCTTAGGCTCAATGTTTTGCTCTGTATAAATTTCTTTTTCTTCAGAAGACAACTCAACATGACCTTCACAATCTTGCCTATTTTTTCTTTTTCTCTTTCCCTCTTTCTTGTCTTCTATAGTAGCAAGTTCATTACTTTGATTATCCAATACCTCTTCTTTTTTATCATTAGAATCTTTAATCTTTTTACTCTTCTGTTTTGTTTCCTTGGTGTGACTGTGATCTCTGTTGTTGTCTGATGACTCTTGCTCTTCAGTCTTTCTCTTTGATCCAACTTGGATCCCATTTGGGATTCTATCTTGTTGCACAGAATCCTCCACATGTTCTCCTATCAGACCATATAGAAAGAGAACATTGGCAAATAAATAAGGTCAAGTTTCCTATAGTTCACAAAGTTATAGGTTCAAACAATACAGAAACAATAAAACTAATTCATGACATAGTATTAAATGCAAAGACCTTGGCTCTGCTTGCCCTTGATGTTCTACAGTTCAGGAATAACTGTACTTAACCCTTTAAAGTCTAACATCAGTATGCATATTCTCCAGACAAGTGATGAGAATAAAGAAAGCTATCAATTTGGGGATAATTAGTTGATCCAATACTAAATTCTCTGAACCACCATTATAAGAATCATATGGTTTACAGTTAGGAGAATTACAAATTTGGTCTAGGAGTCAAAGGGTTGAGTGAAGAAACACAGAGAGATAACAGTTGCTTGACTGTATGTTTGACAGCAGGAAAGAGAGGGTGACGAAATATGGAAGAATCACTTGCATTGAACCAATAGACAAGTGCTAAATACCTGTTGATCGTTTCCTCAGACTGCAAAGAGATAAACACATAATAAATTAATAAATAAGTGATCAAATAAATGAAGCATGATCACATGAACAAAAAATATACAAAAAAGTGAATTAACTAATACAGTAATGTTGCAACCTTTCTTTTCAAAGTCAACATATTATATGTACCAAGAAATGTGTCACACACAAAAAAACAGATCTCATCAGCAAAAAGTCATTACCTCATAAGAGCTACTGTAATAGATCATTTTCATTATATTAAAATTCTAAAAGGGACATGAGGCTTGGGTGAATAAAACAAGAGAAATTCATTATCCATCCCTCAACCTTGATGTGATTTCTTTTGTTTTATCCGCCAGAGCCTCAGAGCAAAGTTTGAATTTTAATATATTGAAAATGGCCTATTTTGATGGAATTGTATGGCAGGTAGATGAGGTAATTACAAGTCAATGATTTATAAGAAATAAATGAAAGAGGAAAAACTAAAAATTTCTTTCCAATGCTTTTGGTTAAGGGTTGACTGCTTGGGCACCAGAAAGAGAAATAAATCAATGACTTTTTCATTCCCAAGAGTGATCAATAAGTTCCTTCTCCATACAGTAACAATACATTGTCAAGCAGAACAGAGAAGAGAAAATATAGAAATATAAAACAAGTGACTATATGTATTGTTTGATTTAACATCAAATTCTCAAAGGTTATATCAGAAGAAATATGTGGCAGTCAATCATGAGAATTGAAAATGAGATCTTGGGAATTTCTTTGCCAAGTTGAACCCTCAATTCATATCTTGTTTCCTTATCAACTGACCAGGAAGTAAGAGCATTTTTTGGATAAGGTGGATAATTAGAGCAAAAAACTGTGTTCCCCATTATGGCCCTAACTGACTATTAATTGATCCACTGTTAGCTAGTCTTACCGTTTAGCCCAGCAAAAAAGTTGATTCCTGTTCCTACCAAGGATATTTCTGTCACTTGCTAAAGCAAATAATCTGTCAGCAGCAGAAGCAAAATCAACCTTGAAGTAAATAAAATAAAAAAGGGTCAGTATTCATCTCATTAAAATTAAACAAACAAACAAACAAATTCAAGTATTTTATTTCCATCAAAAATTTCAGTAATATTTAAAATGAATAGTTAAAAATCCCTTAAAATTTTTAAAAAACAATTCTATGATAGAGTGAGCCAGACCTTAATTTTAGAATTCTGCTGCTCCTCAGAGTCATCTGTCCCTTGTTGAACAAGGTGTTCAAACAAACTCTTTCCCACAGCACTGGTAACAGTTTTGCTAGGGAAAAAATTCAATTCTCACGGTTAACCCTTTAAATGCCAAGATCTGATTGTTAATTCTCACCTCTAACTGGCAAACAATTCCATGTAAATAAGTTATGAGAATTTGGATCATAAAAACTTCTTCCTGATAAGTTTGAGTATTCTCATTACCTGGTGGCTGGATAATGTTCAGGACAAGTTACAAGTAAATCACTTCTGGAAGTTTAAGGGTTAAATTACAGCTTTGATAAGAACTAACAGGCACAAACAAGTAAAAAGGTAGCTTGAAAATGAGCTAGAGGATAAACATGCTAAGCTGATTCCAATATCTGTAGGATCGACTACCCTCATCTCATCTCAATAAGGTTGGTAAAAGCCAGTTAGGCAACACACCAAACACTTACAAAATGCAAAAGTAAAAATTACATGCTTCAATAAGTGCAATACAGAATAAAAATCAACCATACAAGTTAACATGCTCTTATTAATTAAGCTAATGAACTACCTTAAAGGCAATTCTTAAATTTGATCAGAGATGTAATATCAGGCATCTCAGGGAGGAACTGGTTACAGTCTCTAGCAGTTCTTGAGAATGATGAAAATTTTAAATTAAATTTGAACTTGAACCACCAATGGGGTATTCCTAATCATTCTCAGAAGAATGCTAGTCAATTGTGCAGATTTCTGTTTGATCAAATACAACATCAAAATTCTTACTTGCTTGAGTGTGTTGCAAGCAGGAAAAAAGGATCCAAGAGCTTAAGCACTGCACTAGAAGAAGCCTACAAACAGAACAGGTGAAAAAATATATATATATATATAATCATAAAAAATAAACAAAATAAAATTACACATGTTACAACAACACAAACAATTTATTGATTAACATGATCATGGCATTTTACCTCATCATCTAGTACACTTCCAAGTTCAGAGAGATACACTGACACCATGTGAAGTCGAATTCCATCAGGAACCTAAAATCACAATAGAAAATTTATTACTACATGAGGTACCTTTTTTTAACCTGTTGACTCCTAAGAGGGACCAGCATCTAATTTCTTTCCACAAATATAATATATCCTTTGAAACACATATAGGTCACCAGATTGAAGGGAATGATCACAAAATAAAGAAACTCTTGCTGGGTATTTGCAAGGAAAATTTGTTTAATAATTAAGAACTTCAGTAGTTGGTGATCATTTCCTTTATTCTAGCAACCTTTTTGTGTGATTCAGGGGTGATATTAATGGAGGAAATTTGATGATGGTCACTCTTATGACATATTATTGAGTATTACAGTAGTACAGCATAGAGATGAGTGGCAGCCACTCCTTCCTATACTGTATGGGATTCCAGTTTATTACAGGTTACCCTCAAGCATTTCAACAAGTTTCCCTAACAATTTTTGGACACCCATTGCAACTCCTGGCATGGAGAGAATCATTATGGGGGTGGAGAGTCTTGCCCAAGAACACAACACAATTATTCTGCCAGAGCTTGAAAGCCAATGCTACATTCTGCAGTCAAGAGAATCAAATATTAACCCACTGTGTGTGAATAATATATGATCAGTTACCTTCAGACTACTTGGATTCATTGGTTCTTCATAAAAAATATTAACGACATCATTGACTAACCTAAAGAAGGAAAAATGAAGACAATTCAAACATTACAGACTGAAAGTTTCTCTGCTGAAAGTAGGCAATTAGATGGCACAATAATTTCAAAAAACTTACCTTTCCTCCCAACCAGCTTTTTTCAGAAAATTGAAAGTTTCTTTCACAAAGAAACGGATGAGCTGAAAAAAAATTTGCTTTTTATGTCAAAAAAGTGTCAAAGACAACTCAAAGAGGACACAAACCAACTAAAGCATCCAAATGCACAAGTGACCAAGTGTTATCATCTCAGTTGATAACAAATAATTACCAAGTTGCAATTGGTTTGTTTCTATTCTAATATGTCAAGGCAGTGGGGTGCAGTTTTCTAGAACAATCAAAGATCATCATGAAGCAGTTAGATGCAATCTCTTGCTACTTTTTGCACTCCATTGACAACTGCACTGACAGACACTCTTGTCTTACATTACAGCTACAGTATAGGCTATTTAATTATCCAGGCAGCCCATTCCACTAAAATACACTTTCATTCTCTTGCAATTATCATTGTCCATCCACATTTGCTGCGAAAACTATAGCTGGTCAGGAAAGAGACAATCGACCCTCCTTCTCTCTCTCTCAATGATAGTGTGCCTTTCTTTCTCAAGTCCATAGGTGGTTTGATGACACTGTTCCACAACCAATTGAAAACTGCTCTACATTAATATTTTATCAAAAACTAACCATGTAAAACTTATCCAATCGCAGACGATCTATCCCATGCCATTCTCTTTGCATTGTTTTAAAAAATGCTTTGATAAAAAGGACAGCTAAAAGGTAAAAATCAAAGAAGCAGATTGTGTGAGAAGAGTCGAATTAAAAAATTTTACGCCTTTGTTCTGGCAGCCAGCACACTGCTAAATTGCCTGCACTTGCATTAACACACAACTGTTGTGTATAATAAAAAAAATGCATCACTAAATTAAGCAATTAATAATAAACAAGAAAATTACATGCTTCTGATTGGCTGAAAACAAGTGCATTTTTCATGTGCAAAGTTGTCACATTAGTGCAAAGTACAAATAGCATATCTGCACTGTCAAAATTTCATCTGTCTCAACTTTCTGTGATGCCCTTTTCATGTAAATTATTAATAAGTAATGACATGATTTCTTTTGTAATTTGGTTTATATTAGCCCTCATAAATTTTTATAAGACAGCAAATTACACTCGCTCTACAGGCTTGTGCAATTTTTGTTGTCTCTGAAAAAGTTACTTGACATGTGCTCATTTTCACCAAATTTCTCTCAAAATCACATTATTACCAATACAAAACCCTCTTCTTATCAGTTCAATTGCAATTTAAACCATGCAAGATATTGGGAGAACACAAGAAAAGTTTGTTAACAAGCCAGAGGCATATGGTTTGCAAACTTTTCAAGTAATCATTTTTAGCTACACCATATACATCTTACCTGATTGTTCATTCCTGAAACTGAGTATAAGTTTTGAAATATTTAAACCCAGTTCTTCCTGCCAACAAATTTAAAACTTGTAATTAATAATGAGGGGGCTTACATTAAATCTGTTCAATAATGGCTGGGAAGCTTGCTGTTTGAGGGGAGTTATGAGTGTGAGGGCTGCAAGAAGAGAAAGAGGGAGAAAAGATAATAGCACACCACAATCCAAGGGGTTTGGTGTTCTCATTTCACACCAGCAGGAAAAAAAATAACCATATGCTTGCAATGCAATTCAATTCTAAATGTTGCTCAACGGTATAAGTTACCAAGTAAAGCAATGATGCAATGTTCTAAAGTTGATTATATCAGATTGTTATGGAAATACCTGAATAAGAGGCTTGTCTGACATCCACATGCAGTAAAATAGTCCCTTCCATATTTTAAGCAAATCTACCTCACCAAACCCTTCAAGGAAAAATAAATTATTCCTATCAATGTACTTAGATAAATAACATAATGCATTGGATTCAATAATACGGTAATCCAAGTTCTTTCATCGCACTACACATACTGCATACTGAGACATTACCACAATGTCCTCTTTAGCATTGAGCGATCCATGAAAACACATCCATGCTTGAAAAGTGGCGCAACATTTTTGTACATCTGTTTACGTCTGCTAAAGAAAGTTGTCAGTAACTTACCAGGGCCATCCTTTGGTCGGCTCCTAATCCAAGCCCTAAGTTTATTCAGGGCTTTATCTCTGATTTTCTTGTCGTTATTCGCTAGTTTCTTAGCAAAATGCTCTTCTGCTCCTCCAGCCGCCATGTTGGTTTATAGGGAACACGTGCTGCTCAAGCGCATATAAGTTTTGGAGAAACCGCGGATTGCCGTTTAATGAAAATATTTTCTGTCGTGTAAGCGTCTCGAGAAAGGGCGCGACCAGAGTTGATTGAATCATCTACATATTATTAGAGAACAGACAAATTTCTTATTACGAAAAAACGAGACAAACTAGACAGAAAAACAACAAAACAAAAAAAACATTTACGTCAGGTACTTTCTAAAACAAATTCATCTCGTCTGACTCAGTGTAAACACAAATTTATGGGACTTTTGATTTAAAAACTCCAGAAACTAATTATTTTCAAGGGGAATATTACGAGGGTCTCAATTGGGGTAACCGATAGCTGTTAAACGGCAAAAAAATTAAATTAGTAGGCGTAAAAATTGACAAATTCTAACCATTAGTCGTAAAAAAACTAATAGAACCTTAAACAACAACAATGGAATGATATTAACCGTTAGCCGTAAAATGGCAAAAATTTTAACCGTTAGCGGTAAAAGTAATCACCCCATTGACAGCCTCTATCAGCCCTAGTTCTGCTAATGAAAAATACTCGAACCTGATTGGCTGGTAAGCTGCTTTAGGAATGATTCACAGATTTGACTGCAAAGGACTTAAAGTAAGAGACCGAACCGAAGGCGAGTGATTTTCAAACTTTTCGCGTGTTCTTGCAACATGGTGTGGCGTGTGCCTGTCAGTATACAATTCGCTGACCAATCAGAAAGCGCAATCTATGAACGATCCTAGACGTTCGTTCCGTTCATGAAATGAGTTGCTCTTGGTTAGTAATTTTCGTTCGCGTTCAATTGGACCATGCACCTTAAAACAGTGCTCTGAGGATAATGTTTCTTATTGACGAATTTTTTGTCACGGTCGCAATTTTCGAAAACGCCTCATTAAAATTTCCATAAGAAAGGTTATTTTGAAAATCTGCTCTAATTATTTTGGTCAAACGTGTTCTGATAATTGTTCCGTGCAGTGAACGTGACGCAACTTATCATTATCTTAGTGGGACCGGATAAGTGATGTCTTTCAATAACAAGTACCATTTAACGCTAAATGTAAACATAACAGTTATCACACTGCTTTAATCTAATCACCTTCCATCTAGCATGAGTAGTGGAAATGGGAAATAAGTGGTAGAATTACAGAGTCGAGTATACATTTATTTTAATACTGGCAATAAATGTATGACTGATATTTACTGTATAACGGCTAGTAATATGTGAGTTAGTTTTACCGTCGTGACGTATTGTGAAATATATGTTGTAGCCCTAAAAATATAGCAAAAGATTCCGATTTTCAATCTGAATCCAGCAATTACTGGCAGAGGGAAATTTTTGTGCTTATTGTCACGATCGATCAAAGTTCGTTAAAGCCTAGAATAATATACTTAAACCAAACAAATAAGGAAAAAAAACACTTCAAAAAGTAGATTTCGATATTAAGAATGAAAACAGTGATACAAAAAAAGACCCAAAAGATTCCCAATGTAACCACATGATACCGAATATACACCGAGTTTAAATAAATCTTTTTCCCTGATGAAATCTCGTATATGTCCCTGTTAAAGTATTCCCGAAAATTAATTAAGTATAAGGAGGCAGGTGTTAGTATTCAGCTCGCGTAAAGAGTGATTTGGACAGGATGGAAAACAATATGTGCTTCTCAGTTTTCATTTGTGTTAATATGCTTAATTTTCTTGAGGGTCTCAATGGGGTGATGGTGTTCACTCTTGATATCTTTCTGTTACGATTAACAGGAATTTCAAAATGAATTTCGATCATTTTAAAAGGTTGGCAATCAATTTTCAGATGTTCATTTTCAAATGTCTTCGATACCAAAATAAATTGTATAACTGTCATAACAACATTAGCCACAAGACAAGACACATGACAGGCTAAGATTTTGACACTTTCAGAATTCAACTTTCATTATAAATAGAAAAATGTTTTTACCTAATCTTTTTACGACCAACAGTTACAGTGTTTCCATTTTTACGCCTAACAGCTAAATTTTTAGGCCGTTTTAAGTCTGACAGTTAACCCCATTGAGACCCTAAGAAATAATCTTCCAGTGAGCTGCTTCTCATTTTGAAAATATTTTACAATATAGCAGTGCCTTTCGTACTTAAACCTGCACTGCCAATCGCGTTAGGTGAGAGGGAAATCACACAATTTCTTTGTCGTGCACGCCCTTGGAATGAACCCGCCGAGCTTACGGGAAATGATTGGCACTGTCGACGCCGTGTTCCTTGTTTGGAAGCGGCACTGAATAACACGAAAGAGAGAAATAACTCTAAAACTCTCATGGAAAAATTGAAGATCAACCAAGGCCAGGCCTCAACATAAATGGCGTCCGAGAAAACCCCGTAAACTCCACTCATCGAATAAATTTGAAGCGCGCAAAGTATAACGCCTCCAAGAACGGCTGCGACGCAAGTTTTGATAATGGATCGAGTTTGTCTGCCGCGCGGACTACTTTTCGAAACGGTCCGCGCAAAATGTTGTCGACTTTTTTCCGCACTTCCTTGAGAATTTTCCACTCTGAAATTTTTCCAAAGAAGGTATGCGATGAAGGAGTAAAAGAAGGACAGCGATAAGCTGAAAAGCACGTAAACCAGTTGACAGATAAAAGTTAGTACGTCGATATTCGGTACATAGAAAAGAGTTACTTCAGCAACTAGCTGAAGAGAAAAATAAGGAACTGCGATAAATAAAATGTTTTTTGCAGTGTACCACACCATGAATCGTTCCCTTAGCACAAATATATTCTTCAAAACCAAAAATATCAGTGTGTAAGCCGTGATTATGCAAGGGTTGCCTAAAGTCCACACGAAGTTTGCGACTGCTTTGGGCAAAATGTGTTTTGTACTGTATGCATCGATGCACAGGTACAAACAGCGCAACAAACCAAACATGAAAAGCAAGACTAACACGATCAAGTTAGCCTTTTTGGGTCTCCTAGCTCTGTTTGACGACAGAGCTCGCAGAATAAGGGCTGAGGTAAGAAGCATAAGTATTCCAAATGCAGCACCCAGTCCGTATTGGTAGATTTTCCAAGCAACACCCCAGGTCGGTATCGCTGTATGCCACTCTGGAAGAGGTTCTCCGAAGCTTTTCGTATAAGGTTCTTTCGTGGCTTCTGCCTCAGGTTCTGCATCCAACAGAGCACGCCGATGCTGTTTGGAAATCATCCTCCGTCTGATTTTTTACCTGAAAAAGCAGATCTAATGAGCACAAAACAGCTTATCGTTGACTGAAACAATCGAGCTCAAGTTCGATCCTTATTTACTGTGGTTTGAGCACGAATAAGCCAGTTTAAATATTGATGTCTGCCGTTATTTTAATAAAACTTCCGTATTCTTTTCGTCTATTTATAGCCAGACATAAAAGAAAAAAGAAAAACATAATTTTCATTAAAAAAATTCACAACAACAAAAGCGAGAATACAAACATTTTCCGATAGAATCCGGCACGTTTAATTTCCGAAACAAGACGTCTTGCATGCAGTGACGTAAACATGACAATATCACACCACCAAAGGGTATTTTTTCATGTTCGTTTTGAACAGCTTTAAGTGCACGCATCCGATACTTCTAAAAGTTATCAAGAAATAAGGATCCTAAGCTAGTACACTACGTGTGTCCAGTCAGGTCATTTCGGTACTTTTGCGACTGTTTTTTCTGTATTGTTAGGCCCTTGTTTTAAAACTTACAAGTTAATATGTAAAGGAAGGGCATGAAGACAATTCACGTCATTTCATCGTCGTCATATGCCGTTTTAACGGACTTTTTTTTTTATTTTTCCTGGTAAGAACGTGATGAAACTATGCAGTATTGAGAAGACGGATATAAGAATACTCTGCTTTAGTTGTTATTTCAAATACTCATGCAAAGTCAACGTGCTGTGCAATATCTTTCTCTCCTTTTCACTCTGTATTTCTTAACTCTCGAAACTATTTTTCCCATATATTATAGAGAAAGGAAAAACGAATAACAAGACGGTTTTCGTCAATTGAAATGCGTATTATTTGCCAGGCTTACTCTGTCTGTGCTATTATAGATATAAAGTAGTGATTATATTTTGAATCTCCTTCGGGTTTGTTTTCCTGTTTCTAAATTCAAAACAGTAATCTTTAATTTCTTAAACAATACACCTACTCCATCATTAGTAATTCTAACTGCAATAATCAATCCATCTTCATTTAATAATTCTAAAACATTTTTCTTTCTGATTCGTACTTTTTGTAAATTTTTCTTTATCACTTTTCCCCGATAAAGACTAGAGTTTTTCGCCGAAACATTGTGATTTTCAAACTAGTTATTCGTGATTCTAATCGAAATATTTTGCTATTTAATAAATCCGTTATTGACAAAGCGTGTTCTTTTTTAGGTGGCTGGATATCAGCCCGTGCTATTTTTGCGTCTCGGTCCATAAAATCGCAAAAGAGAACTTGGCCAATATCCACCATCTTGATTGAACAAGCTTGGTCAATAATACAAATTTTTTGTCCTTGACTTTTGCTAATGTCAATAAGAAAAAAATTCTTTTTACTTGTGTTTTTATTAATAAAAATGTTCCACTCACAGTGATTCAATCCCTTTCAATTCAACATGTCCGCATATATGTAACTACCTCAAGAAGAAGTCAACGAGATTGAGTGCCTTTTAAACTATCTTTAGCTCTTTGTAACCCACGCTGTATGACCAACCCTCATCTATGCATGTTTGCAGAATTTTCTCCCAGTTTTACTGCTGTCGTACGAAATGCCATCATTCTGACATGCGCAGTAAGTGCGAAGGAGAAGAGACTCATGCCAGCATTTGTGGTGCTCAGCGGGGTGGCTTTTATAAAGTAAGTTTAACTGAATGTACGCGATGCATTGTAGGAGAATATTATTTTTTCATAGAATTCACCTAATTGTGACAGATGTAAGTCATAAAATAATATAGATGACAACAAATAGAAATAAATTATTTGCAAAAACCATCGGCGCAAGTTCATACCGGAAATAGCGTTCGTCCGTTTTGGGCCGTTTTATCCTCTGCGAATATTGATCGTCGCATGGAAAGAAAATTACAAAAATCTGCCTTTATATACAGGTCCGTGACTGTTAAGGGCCGGAGTTTGTTTAAAGGAACCCAGACTATATTCTGCATGCATAATTCATTTCTATTTTTGTGACAATTTGATTTTCTTCAGGTGTATTTTCATGATAAAGACTTGATCGAGATGTTTCTGAGAAGGAAAGCAAGCTAGAAAAAGCAAAATACCCTTTTCGGCTTGAAGCTGAATTAAAAATAAATTTAAATTGTATAAGACAAAAAAAGTTGTTCACAACAATCCCTGGATAAATGTCGCTAATAAATGAATAAATAAAAAAATACGTATTTTTTGTTACGATAGAACATTTTTTGCCATTAATTGACTGCAGCTGATTATGAAGAGATGATCGCAATTACCTTATATGGAAGAATCAGAAGTTTCTAATCAGCGGGAAATTTACTCCAAAAGCAATTAACAATTCAAAAATGAAATTGAAGAGGAAGGTGAAGAAGATCCTCTAAAAAACGTGAGGATCTGAATAACAAACATGAAATATATGATACAACGTATTTAAGAACAAGACCGCTTTTTAACCGTCCTTGTGTACCAACAATTCGGACCTCGTGAAGAAATTGGAAGTTTATGTGGACTAACTGATCCTAGGTGAGTTTTTCTTTAACCCTTAATGAAACAAATGGTAAACACATGGGTAAACTCTCTTTCTTGGTTTCCGGAAGGAACTTTGCAAATGTGTGTAATTAATAAGGATATAAACAGCATAAACAAGAGGATCCTCGCTGTGTTAAATTTTTCTTTGGTGTTTTTCTTCAGTAAGTGACCGCGTCACGGTTTTTTCAAAAAATGATAAATGGTGGTGATTGTACTCATGGACAAGTTTTGGAATGAAATTTTCTGCGCAAGACACTTCAGTATTGGAACAGGAGTATTTTCTTCCTAAAAATTTTAACCTTCACCAAATTTCTGGCATTTAAACCATGCATACTGAACACCAGTGTTTCAAGTTAAAATCAGTGTATTTCGGGAAAGAAATACACGTCTGTCGAACAAGAACAAGAAATCATTCATGACTGATATGAACTACGTCCGCGACTGTCTTAACTTAAGTCAAAATGAACAACACAAGTGGACAATCACAATTTTTCAACGTCCACAATGTCATGGGCACAAATCGAAAAGAAATTTCACAGTTTACAGAGCCACAGAGCTAAAGACCTGCAGGTGTAAAAATCTTTACACTAACAGCTTTGCCATATTGTTTTAATTTCTCGTTCTACTTCGACGAGTATTAACTATTAATTGTCCCAAAGTCGTCTTATTCGTCCAATTTTTCCTCTAAACGATCTACTTACGGTTTCTTTTAGTATCGAGTCCTAGTTTGAGTACTGTTTGTTCCCTGACCTTTTGAGTGCGTGGGGAAAAGGCCAAACGCACGTGCGCAGCAGCAAATACAGAGATCAAAAACAGGAAGTCTGATTCTAATGATTAGGAGATAAACTTTCGCAGTCACGAAAAACATTCTTGAAATGGATTTGAACTTGTGAACTTGGTGATAAGGATCTAAACAACAAAGAATCTCAACAAAAATGCTTGAAAGTACGTTAGGAAGAGAATAGTCTGGCAAAACTTAAGAAACGTTAACTGATGTACAATTCAGCTCCACAAATTTAAAATATGTCACCTGTTTGCTAGGATTAGGCACGGTTCAACAGGAATCTCGACAAGGCGAAATTCGAAAAGAATCTGCAGTAAATTATGGAAGATATCTCGTGAGATAAAGCCTTCAAGTTTATTTCAAACAAATTTGGACTGTCTCCGTGATAGCGCCCATTAATTCTAATAAATCTTGCAGGTTTCATGCAGTTTGTGTTTTCAATTGCAAATATTTGTCATGATATCATTTAAATATGGATTAAGGAAACAGTTTTGGAAACTAATTTTCAGATAATCGCCCCCCCAAGAGGCTAATGGAATCATCGAGTCCCTGGCTATTTGAATAGCCAGGGACTCTTTCAAGAATACTCTTTTGTTTTTCGGACGTCTAGTCAATACACACATTTGTTTGAGAAACGAAAACATTGTCGACAAAGTAATCACTTTTTTTCGCTTTTCCGCGCGGAAATCATATCCAAAGGCCTTAAGGAGAAGCAAAGTCTAATTCTGGAATTTTTGCGCATTAAAGAAAGTCCAAATTTTTTTGTTCAACTGCTACGCTTCTTGGATGTTTCCTAGAAAATGTAAATTAAACTACAACGGTAACAACGGGTAGTTACAAATGCTATTTTCAGCGACATCAATTTCTTCCAGACGCTTCAAAGGTTTCAAAAGAAAATTTTTTTCGACTTTCAAAAGTGTTGAGATCAGGAAAAAGATATGCAGAAAAATACGGCAAAATATTCGATGTATGAAAACAGCGACATTTTTCCTATCTCTTGAAACACAACACAATCTTTTAGCCCCTGAAGGCAATGCGATTCCTATCTGTATTTTTAATGAATTTAGAACAAACTCCGTAACTAGAATTGTTACCTTATTTTGAGGGTTAATCTAAAGTTTAAAAATCTAAATTCGTTTTTGGAAAATCTTTTTCTCATTACATCTGAAGTTACATCGAGAAAGTGCTATATGAGTATAATTCTCCGGTTTTTTTTTTTTTTTGACCGACGCCGGCCGATGAGTTTCTGCAATGAAAAGGATGGGTAAATAATCTTATATTTTCACTGACCCTCATTGTCAGTTTTCTCGGGCCAGATTTATAACATTCGAGCGGCCAACAATACCTTTTTTGATTCTGATGATGACTTTATCTCAGGTTTTCCAAACGTTGGTCACTTTAGCCATGAGAAAAAGTTTTTTTTTTTAAGAAAACTTTCCTCCGGCGATCCCTTTATCATTTAAACTGTCTTCACAGTTCTTCCAAGTCTTGAGAATGAATATTGCATCTATAAATGATAGCTTTTGTTTGGCGCGAAAATATACATCAGGATTTATATCCGCCGACATTTTCTGCTTTGGGAAGCAAATATAGAGCAGTTTTCCTAAAAGCTTGAAGCTTGAGGAAACTTGCGAGCTTCGATTAATAAATTATGTGCAAGGACATATGACATATTTCCATGTCATATGGAGGCTAGTGTGTGTGTCATATTACAATTATATTTTGCAACACGCGGAAAAAAAAAAGATTCTAACAGCTTACCCTCGAAAACGGATGATGATTTTTCGGAGTGACTATAAATCAAACAAGTTTGTTTCTTCTTCCAAAACGACAGCTATTTGTTTTCCTGACAAAATTGTACCTTTTTGAGCTCTAATCCCATGGATCACAGCAAGGTTTAAGAACTGAAGAATATCACGTGGGATTATAACCAGATGTCTTGGGTGTAGCCAGCGGGGGGATATTTGTTCACGAGAAGCACTTAAACCAAATGGGCGCAAAGTAAAAATGGAAAAGAAAAAAGTTAAGTTCCGTGACTAAATATAAGTCATAGCCAGCTTGGCTACCGTATTATATATTTTTTTTCAGAGCTCGCTCCACCACTCAAGAATTCACAGCATACAGAAAAACCCCCAGCTAGGCGGGCTATTTCATTTCATTTCATCAGCCGCGATATTTGTTAGTCGCCATTACAATAATTTCGGATTTTGTGAAGTGTAGCCTCGGCAAGAGAGAATGGTAATCATTACTTATGGACCGCTACGTTATCAGCATAGCTAGTAATTGTTTCGTTAGTATGCCGTTATCAAATATCTAGACTCGTTTTAAAAGATATATTTTTTAGAAAACATTCTCCTTGGAAATTGCATGGGCAGGTGCTCAACTACTAAGGCTACACGCAAAGTAAGTGCTAAGAAACTTCATTTTCAACGAAAAAAAACTTAAAGTATATTTGTTCTGTTCCATTAATGACAAAAACGATTCTTGAACTTAAAAAAAAAAAATTCAATTTCATATTTGCCTTTTCATTCATGGTCAAATATTGATGTTT